ACAGAAAATCCCACCAGCACTATACAAACGTTGTGGTCCGGTTAAGGGAGCTTAAACTCCGTGTTTGGTTTGAACGTTGATGTGTTAATCCGTTGAGTTCCTCCAGAGCTGAAGCTTACTGGTTGCAGAGGCTACAGGGGAGGAGGGATAAGAGGCCTTTTAAGGAAAACATTCAGGTGTAAACAGAGATGAGATCTCTCGGCTGCCAAAAAATACAAGTGCGAAGCTGACTTCTGGAAAAACAGGTCGAGACATGCAGGTCTCGCCCACCGGCAGTGGAAGCTGGTTCCCCTCGGCGGCCCCAGGGGCTGCTCGGGGCGCCAGGGCTTCCGAGATGAAAGGGCACGCTGGCTCGCTTGGAAGCACCGAACCCCTGGGCCCTTCCTGCATTGCAAGCAGGGAGTAATTAGTTTCCACGCTTAAGTAGCGGCCTCACCGAGCCTGACACCGGGCTGCCCTACTTGTGGGAGGGGCGGCGGAAAGCAGGAGCCGAGGACCAGAACTGCTGAGTCAGGGCTCCGGGATGGGTGGGAACCCAGAACGGCTGGGCCGGAAATGGCACCCAGGAGCATCTCCTGAGAGCGTCATTAGCAGAAAGTGTGGCAGAGTGTAGAGGAGTGGGCGCGTGTGGGCGTGCACGTGCTTTTGTAGGCGTGTGTGTGCACGCACTTTTACACTACTCTGAGCCCTAAAACTACTCTTCTTGCCCTGGCTGGTGTGGCTCCAGTGGACTAAGTGCCAGCCTGTGAATCAAAGGGTCGCTGGTTCAATTCCCAGCCAGGGCACATGCCTGGGTTGCAGGCCAGGTCCCCAGGAGGGGGTGCACAACCACACATTGATGTGTCTCTCCCTCCCTTCCCCTCTCTCTAAAAATAAATAAAACAAAATCTTTTTTAAGACGATAAAAATAAATAAAACTCTCCTTCTCTTCCATAACCCACCCAAGGGACCTTGACTGTGTATATTCCCTTTGCACCTGCCTACTCATCACTGGATGCAATTAGCTTATAACTGTGCCTAAGGGAAGGGATTTTCTCCCTAATACTCAGATTTATAGGAATTGATTTGCCCACGTGAAGACAGTCTTTCCATGAAAACAGCCTGTCCCACTGCTGCCTCACACCGCTGACCTCAAGGAAATGTGCTGAGACGTCACCAGGTCTCCTGACAACTCTTAGAGGCTGGTGACATGTACAAGTCAGGCGCAGGATAAGTGCAGGTATATGTACTTGTGTGTGTGTGTGTGTGTGTAATTGAAGCTTTTAGTCCAGAAAGAGATGGCATGTTCCTGCCTTAGGAAGGCATGTCCGCAGGGCAGGGCCGCCCAGCCCGAGAGTCAGAGGGCTACCTCTGACCCCCAGCACGGTCCAGGAGATGAGCATCTCTGACCCCTTCAGACCAGGGTATGTCACCCCCCAGCAGCCCTAGCAGCCAGTTTCCCCTTAGAGAGAGAGGCGTGGGCTCCTGGAGGTCTGAGGCCACGCCTCCTCTACGCCCCACAGCATGCCCAACACTTAGCCCCGTCCTGGGCACAGAGGAAGTCCTCAATGACTGTGTGCACAGACGGATGGACAGACGGGTGGACAGGCCTGTGCTTAGAGACACAGAGGAGAGAGGACCAGGTCTCCCACCAGTATCACGGGCAGAGCCCAGAACCGCACTCCGCCGCAGCCCCCCGGCCCCAGACCTCCCCCCACCCCCCAGTGCAGGTCTTGGTCTTCTTGTGTGTGGTTGGGGCGGAGAGGAGCAGGCTGGCTGCCCAGGAACGAGGTTTGAGGTACACGCTCTTCCTCAGACAACCCAGTCAAAAGGATCAAGGATGACAGGGCACGATTTTCCTTACCCGAATCCTTTGTAACTGACCCTGGGAAGTTACCTGACGCCCCTGTTCTTCAGTTTTCTCATCTGTGCAACGGAGTCAAAATAGGACCCCGGCAAACCCCCCGCAGCCTGGCTCTGGGCCCCTCCAAATCTGATGACTGCCTGCTACGGTGGCCACCAACCCCGCTGCTGTGTCCACTTCCAGGGAAGGCTTCCCTCTGTGTCCTCACCCCCGCGCCCCTGGCACTGCTGGCCATTAGGGGGCGCCAACGTCGACGAAGTGCCTCCCACCCATCAAGCACCGAGCTACGTTCTTCTGGGTTTCCTCCAATTACCTACAGCCTCATTTTAAAGATGGGCAAACGAAGGCCCAGAGTGGTCAAGTAACCTGCCCAAAGTCACACAGCTCATAAACGGCCCAGGGGCATGTCTCTCCAACTTGATGTTCCTCCCCCCGACCCTTACACACAGGGGGCGTGGATCAGAATCCACCCAGGCCGCGCCCGCCGAGCAGACGGGCAGACGGCTGGATGAATGGACAGACCGGTGGACCCAAAGCACAGCTCGCACTACGAGATCCACAGTTGGGGGCCCATTTCTCCACCTGATCCTGGCACCTCTGCTTCCACACCTCTCGCCGGGTCCCAGGGCTGAACGGCAAACCCTTGGTTTGGAAGAAAAGTGACCTCCTGCAGTACGAACCCTGGAGCTATGGAGCGGCAGCTGGGAACGGAGGGCAGGCCCCTGGGCCCCGGCTGTCCCGGAACCTTCCACCCACGCAGAGCTGCGCTAGGCACTCCCAGCCTCGCCTTCGCTGGCTCCTCAAAGCTCCGCGGCTCTGTCTCTTCCTCACTGAACCCCACGCCAGGTCGGATTCCCTTCCCGGCTGCCCTAGGGGCCCGGGGACTCCAGCCCAGATGGGGTCCCAAGCTGAAGCCCTGGAGCGCCTCCCGGCTGTGCCCCAGTGAGCAGGGCCAGAGCCCCGCCCCCCTGGCAGCCCCTGTCCTCCGCTGAAGGGCTGGGGTCTTCAGGGGTCCCGCCCTGTCCCCACCTGCTCCTCCCAGACAGAGGGGGCCGCCTCCTGCCGGACTCCTGTGGAGAGTGAAGGGACAGCCTCCTTCTGCCCAGGCTGCTCCCACCAAAGCCAGCGAGACGCAGCTTCCGGGCATGCCCATCCAGCCAGCCAGCCAGCGCCGGGATGCTGGGTTCCCATCCACAGACTGAGACCCGGGTCCGTGGCCTCTGCGTGTCCGGCCAGGATGCCAACACCATCTCCTGGCCCGGGCAGCCCCGTGGGAAGTGGGTGTCCCAGGCGGGAGAAAGACCGAAGTGAAACGCGGTTTAAGTGAACGAGGAACAACAAGGCCGATGGGACGCGTCTGCTCAGGCAGCATGAGCATCTACAACCTCATGAAGACAAGGGACGGTCCCCACCGCACCCGCAGCCCCAGCTCTGAGCAGCCCGGGAGCTGGCTCTGAGGGCGAGGTCGTGCAATAGTTTTCAAGGGTTGGGCGGAAGGGTCCCGCCCTCAGAGGGGCCGGAGAGAAGGGCCCTGCGCTCCTTTTCCTGCCCGGGAAAGGCTCTTGAGCCTGGGAGAAGTGCTGATAAAGAGATGGCAGGGGTTCAGGGCTGCCCACAGCAGGCAGGGGCTGGGGGCACGCACCAGAGCCCCCGGTGAGCTGAAGCCACCTGCCCCTGCCCCTCCCGCCATGGTGCATTCAGGACACCTTTTTTAGGGGTGTGTCCCCTGGCCTCCAGCTCCAGCACCGCGGAACCAGCTTCCTCCCAGCAGATACTTGGCTGCCTCTCCTCTGTCTCATGTTTTCCTGGTCTGTCCAGGCAGCCCTCGGCCAGGTTTCCAAGTTACCGATTCCTAAGGGGCCGCTGTCCCCAGCAGGCAGAGTGGGAGGTCGGCTCTGAACAGGGATGTTGTTTGCTCAGGTTCACGCCCTGCCCGGCCCATGGGGCAACACGCCAGGCTCTTTGCAACACACCCCCGTTCCTCCCAGAATCCAAAACCCCGTGGTCAGCCGTGGCTGCCTTGGCCTGAGTGAAGGCCATCGGCTTTGCATTCCTGGAAATTCTTTATCATCAGATTCCCAACCTGGCTTCGGCCCCTTGGAGCTCACTTGATCCCTGCATGATGCTCTCCCGGTTAGCCAGGGAGGGGTGGGGAGGCGCAGGAAGGGAGGGCCTGTGGGAGGCTTGGCCACCGCAGTGGACGGTGTCCCTCCCAGGAGGAGCTCTGTGCCTGGGGCAGGGCTGGCAAGCGGAGAAAGGAAGCTCTCTCTGCTCCCCATGGCCTCTCTCAGTCACATCTGTTCTCCCCACGGCGAACGGTTACCAGTGGACATGGGGGAGGGGCGGGGCGGGGAAACTCCGGGAGGAAAGCCATTTGTCCTGGGCGTCCTGTGTCACTTCCACAGCAGCATGGGATGCAGGAGGAGGCAGCGGGAAGTCGGCCAGCACGTTCGCGAGCACAGAACATCTGTCAGTCGGCAGTGAGACGCTGCCCCCGGCTTTCTCTGCCGAGACACCAGGTCTCGCTGCCCTGCTGCTCCCCTCCAAGGCCCAGATGTGACACGGGCTGCAGCCGCGTGTCCACGGTGGAAACACGCGGGAGGCGTGCCGGCTCCCACGAGGGCACCGTGGCTGGGAATGGGGGCGGGTGGCGGACGCATCTCTGAATCACGGGAGCAACAGACACCTCAGACGCGGCCCGGGCTTGGTGACGGCGGCTTCCGGTTCAGCAAAACGACTCTGTCCTCCCTGCGTTTTCGAAACTGGCTTTGAAAACCTCCAGGGAACCGCCGGAGGGGAAAAGACCAGATTTATTGAGATCCCTGGATCCAGGCCACGGGGAGAGTGGAGTTGGCAACACCGGGAAGGTGCAGGGAGGGTGTGCTCAAGGCAATGGGATCACAGACATTCCGGTCCCTGACCCTGTCCCCGTCCTGTCCCGTGCCACCAAGCCAGACCACGGGGCCTGTTACGTGCAGAACTTGCTAACAAAGGAAAACATCAGATCAGCTACCGCCCAAACGATCACAGACATGGCATCGCGGGTCCAAACTGCCCACGCTTTGTTGGCGCCATGCCAAGTTCAGCTCGCCCCGAGGCCCAGGGGTGGAGACCACCAGGGCCAGTGACTGTGCAGGGGAAGGGCTCTGTACCCTACCTGGTCAAGTCCTTGGCCAGACCCTGGCAGGAGGCAGCAGGGGCTTCTACTCCATCACTCGCCGAGGCGGAAGGCAAAGACGCGTGTTGTGAGGCCGGGGGACAGGGATCCACGCGGGCAGCGGCTGGGGAGGTGCTGGGACACAAAGGGAGAATTATTCCCAGTGGAACTCGGCTCCTCAATGGCACATTCATCGGGCCTGCACACCCCACCCGACCCACCCACCCACCCACCCACCCACATGGGACGGGCTATTTAAAGACCCAGCACACTGCTCCCCTGGGCTCCCCGCCCGGTTCCTGGGCCAGCTGAGACACCGTGGAGGTGCACCCCACCGTGCAGCAGCCCCCAGGCCGGGCCAAGGGTCCCTCCCTCCTGGGCTCTGGCAGAACCTGGGTGTCTGTGAACAGAGGCCGCCTGGCTGTTCAGGACACTCTGTGTGAGTTGTCTTGTTTGATCTTTGTTTGGGGATGAGGGCTTTTGTACGACCATTTCTAATAGTTCTTTTAATTATACTCCACATTGAGTTGGGAACCAAAATATAACCTTGTAAACTCCCTGAGATTTGCCCCCAAAACCCAAGGGTAAGAAAAACGTCAAGGCAAAAAGGCTGATGGATAATCAAGAAACCTTGTCCCTGCTGGATTTCCACAGCAGAGCAATGCCCCCTCATTCAGTGGGTGAGTGCCCCCTGCTGGACAGCCGGGGAAGCGCTTGGAGTGCAGGGAGGCACTCTTGGGATAGGTCGGCCATCCTCAAATTACCCCCTCAGAGGACAAAAGTCACCAGGGTTTGGAGCTCGTAGCAGGTTGATTTTCCCCTTTGGCGAAAAGCAAGGCCAGCAACACCGGCCACAGACTAAAGCCTGGAGCAGTTTTCAGGTGGAGGTTGGGGGGCGTGGCTCTCCAGGTGTCCACGGGGACGGTGGCGGGCTGAAGTGGCCGAGTGGGGGTTACTTGACTCAGCACCGAGAGCCTGACACCCGGCCTGACATCCAGCCGGGCCCGGAGGCCTCACAGCCCTGCGGGTGGAGGCTTCTTCCTTCCCCCCGGGCGCGAGCACCTGCAGGAAGCCCCGGACTGCAGACCCGCCAGACGCTCGGGTTTCTGGGTCAGCAACGCCCGGCTACCTTCCATCTCCTCCAGCTCCACCTGCGAGGCTGGCTCCCGGCCTGGAGGGCGGCCCGCCCCAACCCACGAAAAGAATTCTCGGTCTTGCCCCAAATCCCTGACACAACTTAGCAGGTCTTGCAGCCAGGCCTCGTCCTCAACCCCACATGTCCTGCACCACTCTGCTCCACTCCAACTGGCCGGGCCCCCTCCGCACCCACATCACCGCCTCCCGGGCTCGCGACCCTCTCCCCGGGCCAGGCCAGCAAGCCCTCAGCTTCCGTGCTTCCGCTCGGCCGTCACTTGTCAACAGCTACAGAAACAGCGGCAGCTCACCCGCACAGGGTGCCCCGCCTGGGTGCGTCGTGCCGGGTGGGTCGCGCCGGGTGCCCAGTCCTGCGTGCCCAGCGCGGGGTGCCTGGTCCTGTGCTGAGTGCTTCACATAGGTGACCTCGCAACAATGCTTTGAGGAGGGTGTCATCATGCTCACTTAACAGAGAAGGGAACTGAGGCCCTGAGAGGTGAGGTCCCTCAGCTGAGGTCACATAGCTAGTAGGGGGTGGAGCCAGGACATGAACCCAGGCAATAAATCCTTAACCACCTCCACGGCCACTTTCATTTTTCGTTTGTCTATTGTATTTTATTGTTTATGCTATTATAATTGTCCCCGCTTTTTCATGTCCACTTTCTAAGAGAGTCCTTTGATATATATACCTGGGAGCCCCACGCTCCTCCTTGGTGACACAGATCACAGAGGACTTGAGGGCTACTAGGGAGACTGGACCCCGAGCTCCCTGAGGACAGGGTGGCATCTGTCATGTTCACCCCAGTGTCCCCCAGTGAGCCGGGGTGTCCCAAGGGGCTATGACCAAGCGGGGTGTTGGGAGTGGATGCAGGGCTGGAACCCGCAAGGAGAGAAGCAGAGAGCAATGACCCCGAGCGAGGACGAAGTGCCCGGACAGGGGGCCCGGCAGGAGTGCGGAGGAGTGGGTTCCCAGCTGGAGTGACGCCGCGCTTGACCACACTGCCCACTGGAGCAACTCGGACAGCAGCTAAAACGACGCGTGTTGTAAAGGAATGACTCAAATAATACAAACTACTGGGCCTCTTAGGCTCTCTAAGAGCCATTCTCATAATTTGGAAGCCTGTATTTATTCATATTCGTAAACAGTAAACAGGCCACTTATGAACCCAAACTACCCAAATTTAGCTTCCTAAAGAAATCCCACGGGCCAAGCTCCATGTTCTGCCCACCCCACGGTGCTTGTAATTCACCGAACCCGAACTGAGGAAAGGCGTACGGGTTGCGGTTCCGTTCCCTTAAGGGTGTTGCATGGATGTGCAGGGAAAGATTTCTATCTCCGAAAACCGCGACAGCGGGGCGGGGAGACTGCCTTGGACCTGTGCCCTCAGAACCGGGCCCACTCTGTCGGGTGACACACTGGGACAATCACAGTGCTCTACTGAGGACGCCGCACGCTGCCCGAGGCCCCCACCCCTGCCAACGCCCCGGCTCGGCTGGGCTCTGCAGCCTCTTCCAGCCTGCAGGCCGGGCGCCTTCCCTCCACTGGCCCCGACCACCAGGGCCCCACCCTTCCTGCCCGGGCCGCTCCCGTCAGCCAAAGGCACCAAACAAATGACTCAGCAGCTCTTTCAGGAATGCCGCCTTCCCTGCCTCCAGGACTCCAGCCTGCTGCTGGCTCGGGAGGTCGGCCTCCAACAGGGGAATGCTCAGGGACTCACGACCGAAGCTCTGACACATGGACCCCCCACGGACACCTCCTGGCCCCAGCGGGACTCCTCCTCCTCCCCTGAATTTCCCCAGCCCGGAGAGCGGCACCCCCAAGCCAGCCGGGCCCTGGCACCAGAAGCTGGGATGGTCCTTGACGCTTCCGGTTCTCTCGCCCTCGCCCCCCATCATCACCTCCTCTTCCTGCTGAGTCATCTCCCCTCTCCTTCCGGAAGCCTCTCTGTCCTGGCCACCTCTGCGGGTCCCGGCCCGAGCCTCTGAGAGCAGGGTTCCTGCACACCCCACCTCCCCTTCGGTCCCTACACATCTGGGTCCTTTCCTTGCCTAACACCGCCCCCCCCATGACCCCCTCCCGCCTCCGAAGGCAGATGAGACTCCCCAGGCTCCGGCACCCACAGTCCGTCTCTGTCCCCTCCCAGGCTTGTCCTCTCCCCCTCCAACCCACCGAGCCAGCCCCACAGTGCTCCTGGCCGTTCCTTGCCTCCGTGTCTTTGCTCAGGCAGACCCCGCCCCGAATGCCCACCTGCCCCTCTCAGACCCACTCCTAGCCCACCCCCCAGTCATCCTGAGGTGCCACCCAAGCCTGGCCCACCCTGCTCTGCCACGCTGGGCTGGGCCTGACCTCTGAGCGTCTGTTTTCTGCTAACATGTCCTTTCCTCCTACCGGAGTCTCCGCCATCCTGGTCTAAATCGCTCAGCACAGCGCAGCCCCCTCCCTCCCACCCCGGGCTTCCCCAACAGGCCACCAACGGTGGGACAACCGTCCTATCTTTTTGGAATCCCAACCCTCTGAGGCGGGACCAGCAATATAATAATCTGGAGGCCAAACGGAATGGCAAATGGAGGCGAGTGAAAACGTGAGCCCCCGGCTTTGAAAGTGCCAGAATTTCAATGACGGCAGCATCACAGCACCGAACCCAGCCCAGGTGGCGGCCACGAGGCCAGCCCTGGTTCCAGGCCCTGACCAGGAGCTTCCACAGGTTCCCTCTCAGCCCCCTGAGCTGCCATGTGGCCACGGCAGGAGGGGGAGAAGCAGGAAGGACAGCTCCTGTCTCCGCCCAAGTCTCCCTCGAGCAGCAGTGACTCCTCTTAAAGACATTATTCTCTGGGAGGGAGTTGGGCCCTTGCCGATACCCAGCACCGCTCCAGCCCTCGGAGAACTCCTGACAGCTGCCACCCCCTCCCTCGCCCCCCACCCCCCAGGGACAGGAACAGCATGGAGGTGGGGGTCTGCACATCTGTTCGCCTTTGACCTCCGCAGGGCATTTACACTCTTTCCCCAAGTCTCCTCCGGGGAGTGGGCCGGGGGGAGGGGAGGGCGACTTTCTAGCCGTAAAAGTCCAGACCCCTTTTCCCACTGAAGGAGTTCATCACTTTTTTCCACGCCTTATTGGAGTAACAGAAAGTTGAATGCGATATCACACAGAGTGTCTATATTTTTGGAAGATGAAGGGAATGATGTAATTTGCGTGTGTTATTTTCCTTTAAGAGGCGAGTTGACAAAAGAACGCACCCGACCCGCCGTACTTTTCGCAGACAGACATGACTTCCTGATCAAAGCATTCTCTCTGCGTGGGCCCAGCTGGACGAGACCCCAAAGATCTTCCCAACCCAGGCCCCCCGGGGGCCGCCACTAACGGGTCGGAGAGCGCCCTCCCCGATCCCGTGCCTCGCCAAGCTCTGGGTGCGGCGCCCGCCCACACGGGGCCGGAGAACCGCGGGGACGTCCGTGCAGGGCCTGCGTTCGGCCCGACCGCCCGGCGAGTGCAGCCGCGGCAGTCCCCATCAGCGACGGCCATCCTGTGATTCCCCATTCAGAGCTCCTGAGTCCTTCTCGGCCGATCCCTCACGGAGCTGATGGCAACTTTCATTTCAGAGAGCAGCTAGAGCTGCCAAATTAAGCCCCTGTCCGGGGACAAACACCAACGCGACCCTGGCTGTCACCGGAGGGCAATAACAGTCCCCAAGACACAGGCCGAACCTATCAGGTCCTGCGGGGCCAGATGGGCGGACGGGGTCTCATCTCCCGTTCCGCATCGCCATCTGGAAGGCATTAGCACAGTGGCCTCCCTCACAGCCTTCTTGGGTTTTTTTTTTTTCCTCCTTGAAATCCCCAAGTGCACACAATGACGTCATGGGGTGAGAGCCGAGGCCAGAGACGGCTCGGATGGAAAGTGAGATGCAGGCTGCCTCGAGGCGAGGGCTCCTGCCGAAACTGTTGGTTTGGGGAGCTGGGCTCGCTAGGCCGGAGCGCCAGACGGGCAGCCCAGCCGAGCCTGGGATTTGACAAAACGAGCCCAGCGACGGCAGATACAACACACACCCCGGAGACGCAGCCACTGAGCAGCAGCAGAGGCAAAGTCAGGAGGCGCCCAGAGAGGCTGGCCAATGGGCTGGAGACTCCAAGGCAGACCCACTGAGCTATTTCGCGCGGCCGGAGGGAGAGATACACCGGCATGAGCACCCCAGCCCACGTGAGAACGAGAACGGCCCCCCCCCCGACACCGCTGATGGCCAGCCAGGGGTGGGGGCTGCGCACCGTTAACCCTGACCCGGCGTGGCGGCTCCTTCCCAGCGTCCGTCTTCTCGCCCCCTTCCCCTCACACAGCGAGTCTGTGCTCAGACGCCAGGAATTACTGTCGCGCTTGGCTGAATTGGGAAGGAGATATTGACCAAGGAAAAGTCATAAACAGCGTCCCAAACTGCACAAGGGGCTTTCATCTGGGTAGGATGGTCCAGGTCGTTAATTCCCACCACTCTCCCCTGCGCGGCTCCCTGGGTCCTCTTCCCAGGGACAAGAGGTGCTCTGATGGGCCCCGGTTACGGGGAATGCAGAGATGGGGGGACCGACAACCGAGGAAACCGACCTCAGGCAGGCAAGTTTAACTGTTCAGAAAGTCGAGAGATCTACCTACATGGATAAAGCAGTTCACGAAACCATGATGAACGCAAACAACAAACGCCCGTGTTAGCGTGAACCACAGGAAAAGGTCAATATTTGACAGTTGCCGAAATGGCGATTCGTGTTCTTCAACAACACAGCCAGCTGGGCCTCGGAAAGTCCAAGGCTCTGAACAAACATGTGGGCGCACCCCCATTTGCTCAGTGCGCTGGGTGCTGGTTACATAAACCTGTTCCCTGAGCTCCTTTTAAACAGCACAAAGGAATTCTGCTACTTGGAGAAGACTTTTAGGTGATCATTTTTCTAAATTAAGAAAATAATGCTCCCTGGCTGGCGTAGCTCAGTGGATTGAGTGCGGGCTGCGAACCAAAGTGTCGCGGGTTCGATTCCCAGTCAGGGTATATGCCTGGGTTGCAGGCCATGACTCCCAGCAACCGCACATTGATGTTTCTCTCTCTCTTTCTCCTTCCCTTCCCTCTCTAAAAATAAATAAAATCTTTAAAAAAAAGAAAATAATGCCTCCATTTCATGCAGCTTTTGGTTGGTGTTTGCTCGAACAAAGGTTCGTCTCAGCTCTAAGGTATAGTTGATCCCACCAGTGCCCCCCCGCCCCCGATAGCTGACGGACAGAAAGATCTGCTGTGCCAACAGCTGAAACCAGAATAAACCACATGCTTCGGACCAAGAGAAAAAAACAGAAGCCGTCAGTCAGTCTGAGTTCCTTGCACTTTCAACTGCGAGAAGTTCTGAAAGTCTCTGTGCTCTCTCCGGCTCTGACGCTAAGCAGGAGCTGCCCGCGCTCCTGGCTCTCTGAGCAGAAGGCAGAGATCGGACGGACACTCAGCCACCAGCAGCTGGGACAGGCGTCCCCGACCCTGGGGAGCTGTGAACGAGACTGCGATTCCCCGAGGGTGGACCCCAGACCAGCAGCAGCTGCAGCAGCCTCACCGGGCACCTTGGTGGAGACGCAAAGTCTCAGGCCTGTCCCCAGGACCCCCTGAAGCAGAAACTGGGGTGTGGCAGCACTCTGAGCTGTAACCAGGTTATTCTGATGTTTGCTGAAGTGTGACTGCCGTGGGCGTGAGTCAGGCGAGCGGTGTTCCAGCTGTGCCCGCGGGAGCCGGCCAGGTCTTTAGAGACCCCGCTGTCCGGGTTCCCAACGGTGGGAAAAGCAGCGGTTCCGGACCCAACCAGGGCGCCCTGTTCCGCTGCTTAATAAATGGTGATACAGCTGGAAGGTTCCATTTGGGAAACAATTCTGCTGCTTTGAAAAACTGTTTTTGAAAACTCTGAACAGATGGGGCCCTGGCTGGTGTGGCTCAGTGGATTGAGTGCGGGCCTGAGAACCAAAGAGTCCCAGGTTTGATTCCCAGTCAGGGCACATGCCTGGGTTGCAGGCCAGGTCCCCAGTAGGGGGCACCTGAGAGGCAACCACACACTGATGTTTCTCTCCCTCTCTTTCTCCCTCCCTTCCCCTCTCTAAAATAAATAAATAAAATCTTAAAAAAAAAAAAAAAAAGAACATTCTGGACAGATGGGACTAGGGAATAATACAGTGCCCATGGGTAATCTAGTCCCTTGCAGAATGTTCTCGGAGGTCTGGACTCAGTTTCCGGTGCCGTCCAGGGAGGCCACAAGCACGATGGGCATTCCGCCACTTTAAGTGGGTTTGGGGCTCTTCCCTGAGGAGGGGGCAAGTTCTGATGTCCTCCAGGGCTTTAAGAAAGAGAAGGGGCGGTCAACATCCCTTCCCTTCTGTCTGAGCACTGCCCCCGAGAGGGGGTGCCTCGGAGATGGGGTGCCCCCTCTCTACTTCCCTGTTCTGAAAGAGGAGCTCCTCACAGGGGAGGAGGTGGTACCCAAAGAATTAGCAAAGGGAGGGATGAAGGGAGGGGCCTGCTCTCTTTCTCTCTCTGGCAGCTTACAGCCAATGCTCCAGCCCACTTTTTAAAATAATTCTTTTAAAAACATACTCTTAAAATTTTCATTGCAATTTATATCTTTTGTGTGGGGTGCCAGCCCTGCTTCTGCGGGGAGGCAAGCCTCCCCTCCACCCGGTTTTCTTCCCCTCCCACCTCCCTGCCGCGCCCTCTGCCTCCCCTGGCCTGACTCCACACAGGAAGGGGGGTGGGGTGGGAACCCACAGGTGGTGCTGTGGGCTGAGTGTTTGAGTCCCCCAAAACTCACAGGTGGGAATCACAGTCTCCAAAGTGAGGTGATATGGTCACGTGGGTGGGGCCTGAGTTGGGGCCGCGCACAGGGTACAGGGGGAACCGTGGTGGGTGCTGGGGCTGCGGGGCGTGACGTACACACAGGGCGAGTGAGGGCAGACTGGCGGGAGACGAGGCAGGAGAAGCCACCCCGCCCCAGGCCCGACTGCCCGGCAAGGGCACGAGGACCTGGCCCTCCCCCCGCTGTGCTGCCGGCCCTCTTCTCCGACCACCACCCAGACAAAGAACAGGCAGTGAACCAGCTGCTGCCCGGGAGGCCAGAAGGCAGCCAACTAAGTCACTCCCTGAAAGGGTATAAATAGCACGCTATCTCTCTCGGAGGACTCCTGTCGTAAATAGAGGTGCTCAAAGTCCGCAAGGGAACTAAATCTCCGAAGTGGCCTTTGTCGGGGGTCTCCTGGTGTCTCCTCAGATCCCCCCTAAGTCCCCAGCCCCGTGCAGGAGGCACGCAGGCCTGTACCAGGGTGGGACTGCCTAGGAGAAGGGGGGAGGGGGGGAGGGGCAGCCTCGGGGATGGGGCCCAGCCCCCACCGTACCTCTGGGCGGTCAGGTCCGTGGACACCTGGCCGATGACAGCACCAGGGTGGGAAGAGGCAGCTAAGAGTGGGTTTCCGAGGTCTTCGCGGGCAGCCGGCCGGGCGGCATCATCTGCTACAGGTGACCTGGGGAGAGAAGAAGACGCCAGGCTCACAAGTGTTCTCTGAAGTTGCATCTGGACCCTGGAGAGGCTGTCACCACTCGGTGACGAGCCAGCACAGAGGCCCGGAGTGAGAGCTGGGGAGCTTCAGAGCAGCCTGACGGAGCAATCTTCGTCCGCCGAATGAGCGGCACCGGCCGGGGCTCGCTGTGTGGGCCCTGAGCTGTGATCCCACCCGGGGGCGACCCTCGCCTCCAGGGGCACCTGGCGAAGTCTGGGACAGTTTCTGGTGGTCACAGCTGGCGGGGGAGGTGCTACTGGCACCCAGTGGGCAGAAGTCGAGGATGCTACTGGACACCCCGCAGTGCACAGGGTGGCCCCACAACAGAAGATTATCTGGTCCAAAATGCCGGTAGCACCAGGGGCGAGGGATCCCGGCTTTGCGTTTTGTGCCATTTTCTAGTAACCCTGCAGATTGAACTGCATTTTCAAAAGTTCTGCTCTGCGCTTCGGCAGAGAGAAAAAAACAACACAGGCCCTCGCCAACGGAGAAGGTCCGCTCTACGTGACCTCCGACAGCCGGCCGCCTCTGCAGGTCCAGAGAGACACGGGTCACGGGGCCCCGTCACTGTCGCCCACACCGGCTCGTCCCGCAGGAAACCCCTCCCGAGCGCAGTTACTGCGTCTCGTTAGTCCATCGGAGGCGGCGAGTGCCGTGCGTTCTGACCGACTGGCCCTTCAGCAGTAAGCAAAGGGACGGTTGTCTCCGCCCCGGAGCAGAGGGTGACCCGGCAGCAGCGCCACGCGGGGAACAAGGAAGAGGCGGTCCCTGCCTTCGAGGAGCATAGTCTCAGGCAGGAGCCAGCCATTTTTATCGGTTTACTTTACATTGTACTTATTTATTTTTAGAGAGAGGGGAAGAGGAGGAGAGAAACATCGACTGGTTGCCTCTCACATGCCACCCACGTGGGACCCGCCCCACAGCCCAGGCATGTGCCCTGACTGGGAACAGAACTGGTGACCTTTCAATTCGCAGGCCGGTGCTCAGTCCACTGAGCCACACCAGCCAGAGCAGGAGACTGACATTTTTTTTTTTATCTGGTGACCATTGTAGTAACCACTCGGAAGGAAAGACACAGACGGCTAAATATCACCATACTTGATCCCCACAGCAACCCGTGAGGTGCATGCTATCATTATCCCAATTTTACAGACAACAAAAGTAAGGCACAGAGAGGCTGAGTAACTTGTACAAAGCTGCACAGCAGAAAAGAGACAGAACCAGGACACATACCCAAGCCTGACTCCAGGAGCCAAGCTCTTAACCGCCACACCAGGCTCCGTCTCAGAGGGTGGAGAGGAAGAGAAAGGGAGATGCCCTCTGGCACAGGGAGCCACGCAGCTGGAGGGCCGGCGTCGGGAGGGGGTGTGGCATTCTGGAGAAAGGTAAAAAGGGCGTCGTGGCTGCACTACACCCGAAGCAGTCCAGGCAGGGGAGAGCTGGGAGGAGCCAGATCCCAAGGCCAGGTCCAGGTCCTGGGACTTGGCTGTTAGCTGAAGAACCAGCCGGAGGCTTCAATCCAATGCTCAGCCACAAACAGCTACCCTTGACATTGAGATGGGCGAGGGGCGGGGAAGCCCAGGTGAATTTCCCAAACTAGGTTCTCAATACAGTCAGAATGGCACTTGCGTGTGCCACCCTCTACTGTTTATTCCCCTGGTCTTCTGATGTTTCCTTCTCCCTCCATGGTTCCCACCCCCCCCCCCCCCCCCAAATCTCCCAGAACCTGATCCCTCAGCCCTAAGGCCACGCCCCAGGAGTCAGCCAGAGGGCGGGGCGAGGGCAAAGGACAGAAGGAGAGAGGATGGCGGGGACCCTGGCTGTCTTTGTTGGATCATGATTCCGAGAGTCCTCACCTACAGGCAGTATTGACTTTCCAAAGCCGTAAAACCTGAGTGGGAAAACGTCACCCGGGAGTTCTGGCAACGCACGCTGAAAGCCATAAAGGACGTCGTTTTGTCTGACACAGCCATTCGTCCAAGAATTTACTCTGAGGACATGATTAAGGGCGTGAGTGAGCAGGGAAGCTGATTGCAGCTGTGACCAGAACAGCAAAACAAAGACGCCCAACAGTAGCAGAGAGTTCATGAAATTCAGGCACAGACACAGAACAGACTCATTGGCAGCTGTTTAAAAAGAATAAGGTAGCTCTCCACGAATCTAGAGGCAAACGTGTCCATTAGGACCTTTTACAGGTTTAAAAACTACTGGCACTGTGATCCAGATTTTCTGTGCACACATGGGATTGCCATGTCTGTGTGTGTGTGTACATGCATGTAGACGCATGCTCAGAAGGAGAGCGACCACGTGAAGAGCACCTGGCCTCGTGGAAGCACACACACGCCAGGGTGCCCATGGGGTGGAATGATGCCTGCTCTTTTTTACCTTCACTGAGTGTATCTCTATCTTCCAGTTCTGTGCGGAACATGAACTGGTTTTAGAAGCAAAATAAACACGAAAACACGTGTAAGGAAAATCTGAAGCGCCAGGGAGCATCTCCGGGTCACAGCTCAGTGACGATGGCGTGCGAGAGATGGGGCAGGCGAGAGAAACGCCGTCCCTCCTCACCTCTGGGTTCCGACTTCCGCTGTGCCCGCCCCGCCGTGTCCGCCCCGCCTCACCCCTCGGGCACCAGCAGGGACAGCGAAGGTCCCCGGGGAGAGTGTTCTGGGTAACAGACGCCTGCCCACACACTCCGTGGGATGGCACTTTATTTGAACTCTTTGGGACAGAAGTATTTTTCATCGCCTATTGGACACGTCCCTGATGTTTTGAACAGAGAATCTGTGCATGTAATTAAAATGTTCTCCGTGACATGTGACCAGCAGCATCCCGAGCAGCTGGGATGTGAGCGGGGGGGAAGGACGCTATGGCACGAGAAAGACGATTCACAAATCGAGGCAAGAGGCCTGGACGCCGGAGCGGCCCCGCCATGGGGTGGGTCTCAGCGGGGCGACGCCCCATCTGGGCAAGTCAGGGCGCTGGGCTCATGACCACCGAGGGCTCCTCCCAGCCAGTCTGGCCCCTCCCTCAGAGGCTGGCAGCCAGGCTCCTGCTTACCAGCCATCTGACCGTGACTTTGCCTTCAAGTTCCCTGCTGCTAATGTGCTCCAGACCGACATGGCTGAGGGGTCAGAACAGGGTGTAAGTCAGGAATTAATGAGCTCTGATAAAGGTTCACAAACCTCCCATACAGCGTAATTCTAACAGCTTTAAAATAAACATGGATGGGTGTCTATGCAGATACATTAGATCGAAGCACAGGAAACTGCTTTAAAAAAAAAAAAGCTGTGAAATTGACGTTGTACCGTCAGCCTGGGGCCTTCCAGTCTCACTTGCTGAGGATCTGGTTACGCCCCAGGGGGAAGGACTGGGAGAGAGCTGAAGTCTAGGGACGCACAGAGCAGTTCTCCATGGACCAACTGGAAGAGGCTATAAATGGCTTCTAAATGCTAGCAGCACTGGTGGTGCTGGGACTACAGGGACTGAACTATTTTTCAGAGGGAATAAAGAATCTGTCAGAGATCTAACCCCCAGCTGCTGCCACCAGCTGCTGGGGCCAGCCCACTGTAAATTTAGGCAGGCCAGCAAAGGGTTGATTTTCCACTGGAATGTCAAGGTGGAAGCTTGTGTCAAGTGCTTCCCCAAAGGGCTGTGAGTCACCCCCCACCCCTGCTTGCAGACGGCAAGAGGCAGACGGGGCTGTGCTTCTAAGAGGAAGAGATTTGCATTCCAGTCTCCGAGGGCAACATCTTCAGTTCTACCCACGGGACCAGGACCACAGGAAGAGCTCTGGCAGGCCCCAGGATGAATGGAATGGGGTCACAAGTAGTAGTAGTAGTAGTAGTAGTAGTAGTAGTAGTAGTAGTAGTAGTAGTAATAATAATAATAATAATACACAGGCAGGAGGAAACTTTGGGAGGTGATGGAAATATTACGGCCTTGAAGGTGATGATGGTTTCACAGGTATAGACTTATCCCCAAACTCGTGTAAGTTATAAAAATTAAGTGTGTACAGCTTTTATATATTGATTATGCCTTAATAAGATTTTTTATAAAGATTTCATTTACCTATATTTAGAGAGAGGGAAATGGAGGGAGAAAGAGAGGGAGAGAAATATCAATGTGTGGCTGCCTCTCACACGCCCCCTATTGGGGACCTGGCCTGCAACCCAGGCATACGCCCCAACTGGGAATTGAACCAGCGACCCTTCGGTTGGTTCATAGGCTGGCACTCAATCCACTGAGCTACACCAGCCAGGGCAGAAGATCTTTTTTTAAATAGGGATCTCACATTCCAGGGTTGGCTAACCAAGAGCAAGGCAAGTTCAAAGTCTGAAGCAAGGAGAACTGGGAAGGGTGGTAACAGAAGAACAAACTGTCATAGGAAAATGGGCTTCTTTCAGGCTGGGGCGAGCTGGGAAGGTCCGGAGGGACAGAGTCAAGTCAGGTGCTTCGACTGGCAAACATGCGCGCGGGCTTTCCAGAAAAAAAAAAACAAAAAAGCTTTTCCCTCCCTCTCCCTGCTGGTTCAGTGGAACACTAGCTCGGCTTCCCCTCCCCCCCCTTGGGCACAGCAAGGAAGGGCACAGGAGAAGGGACAGGTTCTGCAGAGGCAGGGAGGGGACTGCAGTCTTAAGGAAATCATTACCTACAGGAAGATTAGCGGAAAAACACACACCAAGGGTAATGGGAGCCAGGTTCTCGTGGCAGAGACGGATCTGCTTGCACAAAAGCTGAGTCAGCTCCACAGAGCTCCTGGGGCTGGGGTGCGGTCAGAGGCGTCCGGGAGACACGGAACTCGATAGGAGGGGTGTGCGAGTGTGCACACGCGTGTGTACATGTGCAGACACCTACTTCCCAGCTCTGTCTGCGGAGAGGGGTATGTCAAAAGGACATAAAAGCCACATCAAAGAGCCTGCCACTGGCCAAATCCTAATCTGGGAATAATTTAGCATAAAAAA